GATTACACAGAGACAAGCCAGAGAAGTGGCACATCTGATCTCTGTTAGCACAAGAAAAACTCTGAGACATATTAACACACAACATCCAACACTGACAATGTCAGCATTCACTGCTAAATTAGTAAGGGCAAAGGACAAACATAACTAGGTCTAATGAGTTCTCTGTGTCATCCAACCATTCCTGGTGGGTTCTTCAACAGCTTGTTCTTCTCTTCACACTGCACTCTGTGCTTAGCCGAACCTAGTTACACAAAAGCCCTGACACTATGGAAATCTCTTCTAACATAATCACAGCTGCCCTGTCCTTGGTGGAGACAGGTCGTGGCAGCACAAAGACACGCCAATGCCAGTGCAAAGCCAAGGAACATGAATTAACACCCCACTTTTCACAGCTGTCATAAACACCAGAATGCTTAAGTTTCCTGGGGCCTCAACATTCACATTCTCTCCTGCAGTAATTCCTGTGAATTTACTTAAGTATAAACACACGGTACACCTAAAAAGGGTTAAGTTTCACTTCTACAAATTAGCTATGTATATAAATGAAAATAAGCATCCTAATTCTACAAAGAGAACCATCAAGACACTTGGTTAATGACGCCAGAGCCTGTTCTCTCTAACTGTCTGCTGGTGCCCTTACCTGCAGTTCTTTATGGGTGTATTATCATCACCATCATCTCTGGACTTAGTATTCCAAACATACCAGCTGCCCACAACTGAAGGGTTTCTTTGCATTACCAATTATAATTGCACTGAATGCACTACTGGTTCTGTGACATAAAAAGGAATTAAAAAAAAACACCTCATCAAGCTTATTTCAACTTGAGAGAGCTGAACCCAGGTGAAAAACTAAGGCAGTAACCCACAGAACCCACTAATTAATTACCATATAGATGTATGTATCCAATCTAATAGAGATCAAAATTTAAAAAAAAAAGTAGCCTATTATTCACCACCAGTTTCAATTACAGGTGGGAGAATAATTCCACTTAACAGATTCCCTGTGGCCTGGCCCACACCCAAGAGATGTTTTTTGGGAAAAGCTTAGAAGCAAAATCTGGCTTGAAAACTGGAGCAAGGCACCTCTTTTGAAGTCTTCCCTCAAAAATCAAAACAAAAAGCCCCACCACCAACAAAGCAGTCCCCAAAATCCCAGCGCTCCCCTTCTGAAGATGACTATTTTCTATAGTAAGACATTGAGATCAACAGCTTTATCCATCCATTCCTTCAATAAAATGGATTAAATCAGCATTAATTTGTTAATCTATTTATTACTTCATGCACTCATGCCCTATGATGTCAAGCTAAATTTCAAACAAAATCCATTTAAGAAAATAGAAAAGAACATTTCTTACCTGTTACTTTTTCCTCAAAACTGTGGACTCCCACTGCTGAAGATAATCTGTCAAGTTAGAGTCTTCTTTCTTCTTTCTTTTTGTTTAACCTCCCACTCTTCAACCATTTAATATTACCACATGGGAAAGAAAATGCAAGGAAAAACTTGTCTAATGTGTCAATGGCTACATGCCACTTCTATTAGTCAGCTTCTGTATCAGCCTGGGTGGATAGTTCAAGTAACAACAGGGGAAACATCCTATTTTCTAACAAGAAAAGACACACTAAGAATATGGCAGAAAAAAAATTACATTTTAAAATACAAAAAGAGCATAGGGTTCCAGCAGCACACAAAAGAGCAGAAAATACTACAGTTTTAAGTATACCATATATAAATTATTTTTCACATTAAGTCAATTTAGGTCAAAAAACATTATGTGTTGATTTCTCCAACAAATTATAACTATATCCAACAACATGAATGCCCATCTAAAAAAGAGAAAAAGACAGCAAGCTATTGCTTTTGCAAGACATTGGCACAAGAACGTACATTAGGCCTTGTTATCACATACTAAAGCTGGTGCACACTTGGGTTGCAATTGCAGTATACTTTCTAGAAGAGTATTGCACAACTGATTTACTTGTTAATCAAAATAGTGAATGAATGGTAGCATTTACTTGCATCCTTTCATTCATGTGGCACAGGTAATGCCCTTCAAGACTGTGCATGTTGTACTCTTGCTGGCTTGCACTTTTCCACTTCACAAAAAAGGCACTGAATTTTGAATGTACTGAAAAGAAATTAATAGGAAAGTTCACCGTTCCTAGAGCATTTTAAGAGATCAGCGTTACTTCAGCAATACAATTTCCACAGCTTATTATATGTTAACAAGCTTCCATTTAAAAATGAGTCATTCCTGGAGTAAGAAAACAGAACTTGTCAGATTCAGATTGTAGCAATTGCCCAAGTTTCATTTACCTCTGAAGCACTGAATTAAACTACCTTAAGATCAAGAAGAAATTAAAGGCCTTACAGTTATTTAGTAGCTTTTGCCAAGTAAATTGTCAACCTAGTTCAACGGACCTGTAATCCATTTTCTAGTTTTTTACTTATAATTTAGGCAAAAATCTGACTCATTTTTATAGGTGAAATTGTATGGTGGCATTTTGAAAGTACTTCAACTTTGTGCTATAACAGAAGCTATTGTTCTAAGTGTGGCAGATCTCTATTTCCTCATAGTGAAACCATTAAACTAGACACCAAACTTTACAGTACAGAAAAGCTGCAATAAAGGTTTGGAGGAACAGCTGTAAACTTTAAGGATTTAATATACATTCATGAGACATGAAGATCTGCATGGAGAACACTAAGCAGAACCATTCAAGCGTGGGACATCAGAGTTTGTTCACGCAGTCAAAGATGTTAAATACCCAACTGCATGTCTTCATCGCCTCTTCTCAAAAAAGAGTAAGCAAATCCTTTGCTTTTGCAAACACTGTAGGGTCCATGTGAGTTTACCTGGCATATTCTCAGTGCACTTGTATATTAATCCTTTACTAATTTGTCCCCAACTAATATGTGATACCACAAACAGTCAAGATAACATCAAGTGGGAGTTTGTCATCAAGCTCCCACAGCTAAAAATATAAACATGGACCTAAAGTTTCTGCCACTGTGTGGAAACTGTTATGGATTCACAAGTCATTCACATTCCTCCAAAGACACCAGCAAGGCAAGAAAACATTAACAGTTGTACAGGAATGAGAAGTACTTAGAAATACAACTTTAGCACCTGTATGAATCAGGTAGGATGGCAAAAGCCAGACTAAACACCATAAAGAAAAATCACAACTTCTACTCCATCAGAAATTATTTGAGCCTTTAATGAATATTGTAAGCAAAGAAATTCAGGTCACCATGACTCTGCTCATATTTAAAAAAAAAAATGCCACCCCCACAACAAGCTTTGACAAAGAGGCTCTAAGTAGTCAAAAAATAAAGGTGAGATTTTGTCAAGTAATTGAAAGGTGAGTATAAAATAGGGAAATAATAATAAAATCCACATCTATTGCCCCTTTATGAAGCATATAGTACTGAAGATTATTAACGCTTAAGCCAAGTCCAACAAATGAGATCAAAAGGGCAGGAAAAGGTGGCAAAATTTGTATGAACATATCTCAATAATGATGGGAACAACTGAAGAGCTATTAATGAGCCTGTTGAATGGAAAGCATGCTGACAAAAAACAGCATGGGAAAAACCAAGGTGAGACTTACTTGAAAAAAAGAAAAGAAATTGCTTGAGCTAGTAATTTACAAGTCATAAACTAACTAACTGCTTCCAAAACAAAGTACTTTACAATTTACACCTCAAGACACAGAAGTTGTTTACAGAGGATGAGGTAACAAAAACAAGCAAAGAAAATTTGATAAATCCATTAAAATATAAAGCATATAGTAAAACCCTCATTCAGATGTCTATTTGATTTAGTTCTAAGCTACTAAGACTAGAATGGAGTTAGGAACTAAGAGAGCTTGTAAAAATGGACTCTAGAAAAAAAGTGTAAAAAAGATTCCAAGAGGCATATGAAGGCTCCTGAAACAGGAAACATAGAGAATATTTCACCAAAAAATGAACATGGGGCATGAAACAGTAATTAATCTGTTTACTGAAAAGGTAAACCATTCCCATATATAATTTCTGCAAATACTACCAAGAGACAATAAGACTGAAAAGCAATTCACTCAAACCTGAAAATGCTCATACAACATATAGCTGACTTTCTTAATATTATTGCCATACCCGGTACATGCTTCGATTCACCTAAAGAAAAAACTAGATATTAGAAGGCAAATCCCTACATTCTCTGCAGAATTCACTCATGAAGTTTAAGAAGCCCACTGTGGAGTCTTTCTGTAGGTAAGGTGTAAACAACTGGTAATCCTCACCAACTTCCTAAGGAAAACTTCTATCTTCTTAGAAGACAGTCATGGGGTAGGTGCTCTTCAGGATAATGAATGATCATTTTGGATTGCTCTGTATCACTGCTTTCTTTCCTTAAGCTTTACCAAGCACAAGTGTCACTGCCCAGTTATTAGTTAATGCACATACAAAAAAATACATTTTTTAGTTTCAGTACAAGCTGTCAATTCAGAAAATCTTACAGAAATAAGATTTCAAGAGTGGTGGAAAAATAGTATGTGCATAGAACTTCAGAAATTGTACTTGCCTCTTGGATTTGAGCAAGACTGCAGTTCATTGGCAAAGGTGCCAGGGCAGTCTCCTGGCAGTGGCATGATTTACCCCAAAGCAAGTCAGACAGGGCTGGTATCTGCTTAACCTGCTCTAGTTATACACAGAGGTAGTTGCACTACTACTGGCTGAAACACAGAATAGGTAAGAAATGTGTTTTAATAGCAAAGAGGTACCAGGAAATAGGTCCATCTTGCAGATCTCATTAAAGCTATGAATGGACTTAATTATCACAGAAACAAGAAACACAGAGCTCAATAGACACTGCCTGATATCAAAACTTCCTCTGCAGTCGCAGATGATTTTTTAGGCCACACAAATTCCAAGACAAACAAATTAATTATTTACTCTATTTCACCTTGCTAAAATAACACCAGGACTACCACCCAAGGATAAATCCAGTACTCCATCATGACGTAATACCTTTTTTATTACAATATCCAAAAAACTGAGTATGCAAGATTTTGAGATCTCATGATCCGTTCTTCAATCTCAGGAATGTGCCATCTAAAGACTGTAAATTTAAACCATAAAGGAGTTTAAATGTAAAGAAAAGAGAAAAATGCATTTTCTTCATAAACATTCTGTGTGTCTCTTCCTACCAACCACGCCATCCTCTGTAAAACCCGAAGATTTCTTTCTGTAAAGCAAATATATATATATATAGTGTTGGTAGCCCGCCCCACCCTGTCCCAAGATCAGTTTTTATTAATCTTCTGTATTAGTGTCAACAATCAGCTACAGATACATATTACTTTGAGAATTAAATACATAATCGTTTAATTCAAACAAGCAGAAGGGCAAGAGGAAAAAGCATTATGTGGATGGCACATTTGGTTGTAGATTACCAAAACATTCAGCCTTTACAATTCAATTATTCTTTCTCTAGTAATCAACTTTCAAATAAAATTTCTCTTTGTTGCAATTACAGACCAAAATACACTAGTTTTCTTTTACTACAATCTTACCATAGTAGTTTAAGAAGTACTATTACAAAATGCTTTTAATTAGTGTACTCTTTACGAAGAGTCAGAGAGGCAATGTAACAGCAGAGTACAGTGTAAAGAGTGCTTCTAGGAACTAGGAGGTTTTGTATTATCCTACTCGGTAAGCGATAGAGCTACAGAACTCACAGCCACAACTGTTATGTCTACTCTCTCTCACTTAAGCAGCTGCAGCTTCAGTGCATTCAAACTGTGCCCGATGTCTCTGAAGGGAGAGTTCTGCCTGCATGAGCAGTCTGAACAGATTAACACTGGTTTGAATTGAAAACGCCCCTCCTTGATCTGAGCTAACTATGTAAACGTACACAGGAGAGGGGCGTTTTGAACTCTGCTGGGAAGGTGAGTGCTCGCCACGGCCACCCAAGGGAAACTCTCAACCTGAAGAGAGGTGGTCAGAGGTTAACAAAACTGGAACACAAAGAGAGGCAAACAAAAAAAAAAAAAAGACAAACAGCAACTGACAGAGCAAACACTTTAGAAAGAGCCTATTCCTTAAGCCTGCTTCAGATATTGCTCTGCTCTATAAAAGTGAATTTAGGACCTAAGGCTTGTAAGTTATAAGAGGCCCAGGTGGCCAAGTCCATCTTCAACGTCACTGAAGTGCTTTCACAAGATATAGCTTTTCCCCGTGTTCACTGGTGAAGATGGGAGCCTTTTTGTAGTGTTCCACCAACTCATCCATAGTATTAAATCGCCGCTGCCCAATACAATAGACATTGTCCACGAGCTGCACCTTGAAATGTTTGTTCTTCCCCGATGCCTTTAGAGATACTGAGAAGTCACTGGGCTGTTGAGAAGAATTGAGAAAGAAAGAAAAAAAATTACATAGAAGAGAACAAAATGACAGCATAATTTTGCAATTTCAGGAACAAACTGTGTCATATAGTTGACAGTAATTTACATTAGCCACAGCTCAGTGCTTTAGCTCCTTAAAAAACCCAATAGCCTATTATTCAATAAATAATTACCATTGTTATTAACGTGAGCAGTTAAGTCAGTTAAGTGAAAGCTCCCCAGATGCACAGTTTGAAGCTGCCAATTACATGACTAAACTGCAAATATTATCTTAGTTACTCAATCTAGAAGCACAAGAATGTCAAGGAGAAGGGAAGAATTTTTATCATGCATGTCTTTCTCACTAGAGTGCCCAGGAGAAAACAATTACTGCAATATTGCTTGGGCGAGATGAAGAAAATCCCCCTTCGCTTTTTTTAAAGCCGCGACCACTAGAGGGCCATTCTTGCTTTGCATTGCAAAAGACAAAAACACATGCACCTTTTATCTTCATTACCACATGCATAGGGAATAATTTCTCCCATTGAGTACATTTTCTTTGTAAAACAAGATAAAGCTATAGAAAAAAACCACCGTACAAATCCCACCATCACACCACTACCCACAAAATACAGAATTTATGCACTAATTAAATTACTCAGGACATAACAATTTCTAATGATAAATCTCTTCATCCTGGCAATCAGTTGCTTTAACAAGGCGAGAGCTGTCATCCAAACAGCCAGAATGAGACCATTCCACTTCCTTCACCACATGCCACATAGGAGGGTAGGAAGGACACAGTGTCCCTTGCTTCCAGCTGAGCTCTGTCTCCAGCCACCTACTGCTGCTGGCTGGCCACAGAAATGGTGCAGGAGCCTGGGCAATAAGGATTTAACGTGCTGCTGTCTATGCCTTAAATACCAATGACCACTCAAGCAGGCAAGTTAGAGAAGGATGTGGCTGGAAAGGGGGGGATGTGCACAGGTAGGGCAGTACCCTTCTGGGGCCAATTTTCCTGTTCTGGTCCAAGCAGACCACACAACACAAAACAATGCAGGCATGGGAATGGGGTCAAGGAACTGGCAAGTCCAGCAGAGGCGGATCAAGACTACCAAAAGACCCTCAAAGATCCCCCCATTTCCATAAAGATCCAGAAGAGTACTCATGCTGATTCCTTAATATGAAGAGGAAGAAACCTAATCCTAGGGAGGGGAAAGCTTACCTGTAACCAGGTAGCCCCAAAAAGCCTTGGTGATGCATTGCCCAGGCCCTGGATACCCTGTTGGCTGGATTGATCCTGGATCCAGGGCTGCAGATCTCCTTTCCTCTGCCATCTGATCTCCCTTTCACTTTCTCTTTCTTCCCTCTTTTCTTTTATTATGGCTCTTACACTAGAGAGTAGGGGCAAAACATGAATTTCTATGCCAACTCTGTAGTTTGCTAATAAAACTTCATAAGCTTCTTTTGAACCCTTGTGGTTTTTGCCATTCTTTGATGAATCTTGGGTGCTCCCTTCCATGTAGGAGGGGGATATGACAGATGGGAGCACAGGTTTGCCCTGTGAGAGGTTATATGGAAGTAGGTGTCACCAGCCAGCAGGAAAATGAATAAAAAGAACACACTGGAGTTTGTAACAAGCACTAAATGGAGTTAAGTAATGCCTGGTGCTACTCTGGAGGTGCTGCTGCAGTGTCTCAACCCACTGAAGGCATGGCTTCAAGCACAAACCACTGAAGGCACGTGCCAGGCTTTTGACACAACCTTACTGTGTCCCTTGGTCTCTCCCCACCACGCCGGTGCTTTGGCTGGGCCAGCACTGCAAACCTGTGCTTGCCCAGGTTAAACAAAACCCACCTGGTTCACAGCACTGCCTTGGGAACAATCCTGAGCACAGCCGTGGCACAGAGAGGACCAACTGGAGGGGTCAGGAGCCCTCACGTGTTACTGCTGACATCAGACTTCACAAAGCCACACCCTGAGTCCTCTACACTGCATTTGTGAGGGGTCAAACACACACCCAGCACATACCCAAATGAGCTGGAGGACAGCCTTTTCTCAGATATGCTGTCTTTATTCCTGCAATAAAATGGGTCTCTGCCCACATATTCCTCATGTCCTGTCAATCCCAAAAATCTCATCTCTGGCATCTCCCCCTCACCTGTCTTAGCACTAACGCTTTCTCTGCCTTCCCTCTGACTCCATGGGCCCTGCCCACAGCAAAAAAAGCTCCTGTCATGCCTGCTGATCTGGCTCTGGTCCAACTCAGACTCGAGGCTCAGCTTTGGACAGCAGCTCTTCTCCTTTTCTTCTGCTAAAGGCAGCAGCAACCTCCCCACACCCTTGGCCTAACCCTCTTCTACCTCAAGCCACTACATTCCAGATCAACTGGCATCACTTCTTTAAAAATTATTTTATGTAACACTCATAGGACAATTACTTGTTCCATCTATAATCCAGGGTCACTGGGCCTTGATTGGGTCAGCGCAGGCTCCATCAGGAAGGCTTCCTCTGGCATTGAGCAGCCACTGGCTCAAAGCACATGGAACACTCTCTGTGACTGCCAAGAGGGGACTGGGAAGGGTGGGAGAACGTGATGGAAAGAAATGTGCATAAGAGTGCATCTTTGGGATTTCCAGTGCTCCACCCAAGACACATTTTGAGCCCTGTCATCCATCCCTAACTCCAAATATGAAAACTGCTATTTTAAGCCAGCTATCTCTGATATGAAGCCCCTGCCTCAGCAGCATCACCAAGAAGGCTGCACTGAACTCACATCAAGACTGGCCTATTTTCAGCACCTACTCCACTGGGTTAAAGCTAACCTGGCTGTACAAACACTTTGCTGTGGTTAAAACCCTGAATGCAGTGTGGACAAACCCTCCAGCAGCCATAGCCACACGGGCCTGGGACCTGCTTCCAGTGGAACCTCCATAGTGCCAAGCAGCAGCCATTAAACAGTAACAAAGCACAGGCCTGCACAAAGCTCTCCGGAAGCTTTGGGACCCTGGGCTCATGGAGGAGAAGTTTAGGGCATGGGCAGGGTACTGATTGCTGTGCCCTGAACACAGGCAGGTCTGTAGGGTCTCACCAAGGACGGACTGAGGCAGCAAGTACAGATTAGTTAGGATTCCAAAAACAGTATAAAATCTTGCTGACTAAGTTCTGCTGCTTCCATGGGTGATGCCTACACCAAACAAAAACCAGTAACCAAAAGGCCCTCAATTAAAACAGAAGAACTTACAAGTAGGATGTTCATAATCTGAACTAAAGTTTTTTGTTTGTTTTAGGAACAGGAAACAATTTTATGGCAAAAGTTGAAAAAGAAGTTGAAATAATCACTTTGCTCTCAAAAATCGTTTACTGTTTTCTGACAAAGCAGTTGTTTTTAGCAAATCAAAATTATGAGTTTTCAAAGCTCATTGTATCTCCTAAGAAATAAGAAACATTATTTCTAGGCCATAAAGGATGTGCTAATGACATGCAGAGCATTGCTGGAACCTCTGACCCACTGTCCTATGACCCAGGCACTGGCCAGGCTTCTATCTTTGTGAGCTGATCCACACAATATATTAAATACTCCTTCTGCCAGTTTAATTATAACCTTAGTGAATGAACATTTCTCATGAACTATTATCTATTCTCCACAGCCCTGGAGCCTGCTAGTTAGATTGATACCTAAGTAGAAGGCATTATCATATTTTCTGCAGCCTATGTTACAAAGTTTATTTTTTCATTATCTGATTTAATTTAAAAAATGTAAGAAGCGGAAGGGCTGATCTAACTCTTTTGAGAGTCATCATCTGGTGCAAAGAGATGGAAGAGCTCAAACAGCTGTTGCAAAAATCCTGAAACCCTTTATTGGTCTCAGAGTAGTAACTTCTATAGGACTCAAGAATGAACAGCAAAAGGAATTTGACTTGTTTTTGTTTTTATTTTGGTTCCTTCTTGCCCTAACAAATGCAAATTCGTTAAAAATATTATTTTTAAAAAATCTAAACAAACTATTGCTATGAACACTTCCATTTCAAAGTACACTGGTTTGATGCAGTTTGAATTGGTTCCCTGCTGTCCTCCTTGGATTTGCTCCAAGTCTGTTTATTTTATTTACTGTTAAAGCTATTTTGTTCTAACTGCTGGCCAATTTTTCTCTCTTCTCCCTCTTAAATTAATTGCTACATTTGGATGTTTACACACTAACTTTTCCAGGAAAAACAGATTCACATACACCAAATAAAAGCAGATCAGAAGTAAGCTTTAATCCCTTAAATCTATAGAACAGTTGATGATTCTGCAACAGAGTTACAGAGCATAGCTTTGTGGCAGGGAAACCATGAATATTTCTGCACCACCATAACTGGAAAGACCTACACCTGAAAAACCTAACTTGAAGTTAAATTAATTCCTAAATCGGAAAATTAAATATTAGGTTGAACGCACCTACAGTCCTTGTGTTGTAGTACTTTGAATTGTTTTCAATTCCTTTAACACCTGCTTGTACCTAGAGATGATCATCAGCTAGCTGGTGCCATGTGGAAAACAAATGGTAGGAAGTTGTTTCTTTATTTCTTTGGTGAGGAATTGAATGATCTTTAAAAAAAACCCACAACCAATTGAAAACTACCATGAAAACAAGTGATAAAGCAATATAAGGAAAAACAAGTGAAACACGAAAAACAGAGTTCCCTCTTCACATCCTCAATTTGAGAATGAAATGATAATTTTATCATTTATAAATGGCAAGGTTGTGAAAAACAGTTCCCTCTGAAAATCTTTTACTGATCCTGTAACTTATTTCAAATTTTCCCTTTCATTCCAATTCTGTTTGCCAATGTCCTTTCTTCAAAAAGATATTCTCACACACTCATTCTTCAAACTATTCCAGGCTCTTTGAGCTCCCATCAGTGAGCCTGTCCTGGGGCTCCTCAACTCCTTCCATTTCCATACTGAAGTTTTCCCTCACTTCTCCTCTTACTCTATCACCCAGCCAAAAAGCTCAAAGTTATAGCTCAAAGATCTAAGGTCAGGCTGGAAAGAGTCATCTGGGAGGGTTAATTCCTTTTTCTACCCCTTCTGTTTCATTTGGATATAAGCAAATACCATTCTCTTCCCTATGTAATGTTCATGTTCCAAAATCAGTATTACACAGGTCACAAATATGAATTGGTTTCATTGATCTTCAACTACAGCTCTAATAAGATTTCTGTTCTTCCATTTAAAATAAGCCACTAGGATATTTCCTTACGTCTGTTTTCAAAGAAAAACTTTCTCCTCATGTCTGCTGCACTTACCAATCACTGCATGTCACAGAACATGACCAATGTTCACTTTTTAAACAGTTGCCACATTTCATTGCTTCTATCCAACAGCTGCAGGATTAAAACCCCAGGAAAACATGGGACACTGAATGCTACAAAATTAGCACCTCAAAAAACATATAAACTCTGAACCTCTGCCTCCTCCTTCTATTGTCATTATTGCTAGACAAAGAACAGGGAAGCTAAATATGATCTCAAAAACTGACAAATCCAGTCACACCTCAGAATCATTTTAATAGGCCTAAAATCATCGGTATCATCTTAAAACTATACTCTGCAACTCTGTTTAGGATGGGTTACTGTAACCTGAATGCTGTGACACTACCAGCAGGAGGTAACCAATACTTCCTAATGAATAACTGCTCCTGAAATCGTCCAAAAACTTGCATAGCTCACTCACTAACACAGGCTGAGAAAAATAACACCTCCTCTGCTTCATGAGAAGACCTCATAGGACTACAAAGCACTGGTGTTTGCCTGATCACCAGTTTCACAGCCACCTGCAGAGGACTGCAAGGGGCCCACAAGTTCTGACAGAAGCTCCCTTTGAAGTTTAAGGGTGTCTGCAGCAAAGGCTCTGCTCAGAGGCTGGAGGTGACACACTACTGCTTCCTGTTAGCTGCAGTACTAGTTAGCACACTTGTTTCCTGGTGTGAACCTGAACAAAACAACCCTCTCCCATTCAAACTTGCTTCTGTACTCAGTGAAATCTGAGGTCTTCAAAGCATTACAATCACCCACCCAACCAAGACCACCAGTATCAGCCAAGACCTGTTTGTCTTGGGTTAGGAGCTACACAAAGAGACCAAAAATCTGACTGCTGAAGAGCCTGCAATCCAAAAAGTGGCTCCACATGGACCGCATAGGATAAATCTACTTTTTTCCCATTGTTTTGTTACTTAAATGAGACAAACTGCAGGTTTCATTAACCTAGCAGCCTGCAACAGAAAGAACAACTAGCTAGCAGTATTTCTAATAAGGCATGTTCCCAGTTCTTTTAGATCTCCAAAACTAAGGTGACATTACCTAGGTGTAACACAGTTGGCAAAAACATTATCAGTAGGGAACTGTGCCTGTTACATAAACTATGGGCTTAAATGGTTCAAACAAGTTTATGGTTCTAATAATAGTATTTCGTAATTAATGAAGATAATCAGCCTCCTAGCTACCTTACAGAGTTCATCTCAGGTTATTCTCCTCTATGGTAGCATCCTCTGGATCTAAGTGTTACTGAGGAAAATATTTTTGGCTAAAGAAGTCTAGCTGTGAGATAAACATGTGGCAAGTTAAATCTAGAGAAATATTGTTAAATCTTGCAACTACTAACACTTGAAATGCAAAAACATGACAGTCTCATCAAGTGAATACCGAATAATACAAACCTTCATCTATCCAAGGACAGCTTTTCATAGCTCAGTAACAAGAGCAAAATTGAAATCTAAGGAAAACTTCTATGCAGACCAATTTTTGTAACTATGGTTATGGAAGGCTACAGAAAACTCTAAAACAGGTCAAAATCAGGCACAGGATTAGGAGCATGACTCACAGTTTTATCTATGGACCTTTCTAGAAAGGAATAACCCCTGCATTCCTAGCATTAAAGGTGAGTTAGCAACACAGTGTAGTGGGAAGTGCTGGTCTGGTGGTCAGATGGGCAAATCAGGGAGCTGACAGCTTGGCTCTGCTCAGCCTGTTCTCTCTAATCAAGACCATCTGCTCAGATTGTGAAGACACTCCTGGTGACTTTAAGCCACAGCATGAACAACCTCTGTAGTCACATGTGCGAAATACAGCAACTGTCAGAAATTCATGAGTCATTGCTAAACTCTTTTATTCCATACATAATAAGTTTGAAATAGATTTTTATGATCCTTTTCTCAATGCTTGCAATTATGCCCATTCACTTATTGTATCACTTGTGGCACTCCAGGGAAAAAACTAGCAATCCCCAGTGTTTTATAATTCACATACATAAACACACTATATGAGGGAATGATACATAAAGATCAGGGCAGATGAAAGTTTCAGACGCAGTAAATTATTTCTTTAAACCTAATAAAAACTAAAACCCACATGCAGTACGAACACACAGAGGTATTCACGGGCATAACTGCAGTTTTCTCATAGCTAAAAAAAGGCTCAAATACAGGGTTTGCAAGACCAGATAAAGAGTACAAAAAGAAGGAAAAACGCTAAGTTCCTCAATTCAGTGCCTTTTTTTTACCTGCAGGTGTGCAAAAAACTTGCTGTGATATGAACTGAATAATTTTTCTGTTATCCCACTAAGTGTTAGATGCTAGAAATAGTTTGAAGAGCACATTCTGAATGAATCTTTTTGTACTCCAAAGCAATGATTTCCAGCCACAATGCAGGCAAAAAGTTTAAAACTGCTTTGAATGCGAGGATTTAGTGTTATGATGTCACATTAAATAAAAAGGTTACTGTGTTCTTTGAAGGTAGTTCGTTTACTCCAGAGATAGAGGCAGACTCTTAAGAGCTAAAAAACCCAGCTGTAGCATAGTGGTCACTGTGACATATCATGTCCTGAGAAATGGGTAAGCATTGTTGTATTTTAAGTAATGTATTCATTTTCAAACTCTCCTTCTGGCACTTTCTCAAGAGATGAAAGGAAATTGATAGCTACAGTCTCAGGATAAATCATAATGCAGCCTCTAGATCTAGAGGTGAGCTTCTGCCTGCTGGACTGACATGCCTAAAATCCACCACATCCAGTATGCCTCCATCTGATAGGATGTTGATAGAAAAAGAACGTTGGGAAAAAAAAGGAATTACTGTAATTTAATGGTTACCATAATCCTCAAGTGGCTTTCTACATTTTACAAGAAATTTTACTGTGTGTCTCACATCAGTCTTTTCTTCTGTTGACTAAACAAACTTGATTCCTCTCAGCCTCTGTAAATCAGTCATAATTTCTAAATTCCTATTTTTCTTCCTATCTTCCTCTAGTTTATTTTAATTTAATCTCTAACCTTTTTCCTGTTCTCTTGTGGTTTATTTGCATTTGCCTTTGTTTAGATTATAATTAAGCAGAAATAGGAATTCAATGACACAGAGCTTCAAAGAAAGGGTAGTTCGATAGCTATCACGGTTTTTGCAGAGCAAATTCATCAAGGAGAGGTGCCTGAAATTTAATCAGACAATACTGTCTTCAGATAAAAATATCTGAGACTGTTAAAAAGTTGTATTTTGTCAATTTTCTCAATGTTATGTATGACATAAGATTAAAATCTGTCATCTTTTTAAAATCACAGCCAAAGGATAATTAAATTTTAGTGCTTTAACTGCTAATTCTCTGGCCTCAGTACACATGAAAGTCCTTTCAGCTGAATTTTAAATTTGAACTTTCAGAATGACATGAACCATAATCAGCATTACTCAGATCCCTCTGATGCCATCAAGGCTCAATTTACAGGGCATATTGACCCTCTCTGCAGTTTATAACAACCTTAACAACTAGATATAATAACAACTTTACCTTATTACAAACTAAATTATCTAAGTAGATCAAAAATATTTTTAAATGGAATTTTACCTGATAAAGAAACAATGTAATTTTAAAATTAAAAGTAGAACAGAACTGACCAATGCAGATTCTGTTTGAAAACAGATCAAGTCAATGACCAAATTTTTAATCACCTAGAATTATTTTATCATGTAGTGCTTTAAATTTGAGGATTGCATGAGAAACACATGAAAAGCCAAATGGAAGCCTGAAATACTTTACTTCATTGTCCACAAATTTAAAAAAACTCTGGATAATACAGACCACAGCTGTTAAATTTCAGTGTAAATGTCACTGCATTTCACTGACAGACCAATTCTCACAAGGAGGGAGGATATTGGTCGGTAATGCTGAAGCCCTGCTCGTTTCTTTAAGGGTGACAAGACAGGGAGTCTGTTAAGCGCCGTGCTTGCTAACCCATGCACGGGGGTTACAAACCTGCGGGCTGAGCATCACTTACCGAAGATTCACTGTCTCTAACAAGGAAATCTCCTTCCACTCCCCTCTCGTTCAGGGCACATTCTGCTTGGTGCCGGGTAACGTTCCCGTAATACCACTCTCTTCCAGCAAATCGTCCGGTAGAAGATGGTCCCGTGTAGCTTATCTGAGGTGGATGGGAAGTGTTCATGGAAGGACCATCACTAATGATTACTACATAGTTTTTAGGAACAAGACCGATTTGACCTCTGGAGTTTTTACATTTCCACCATTCTGGGTCATTTTCTGGCTTTTCAATGACTTCCATCGTTTCCCCTTTTTCAAAATTGAGCTCTTCATCCGTGACCGAGCTGAATGGGTACAGTGTCTGAACGATGTGGAGTACTTTGGTGCCCTGGCCGTTACTCATGGAAGCGCCTTTCCTAAGGCTGAGGAAGCTGGGTGAATCTGCAGTTGCCTCCTCAACCTCCTCTACCACATAGTTCGAAGGGAACCAGCCGATCTGTCCATTGTAGCTCCCTCTCCACCAGCCGTCGCTGCACTTCTCCATGACAATCACTCGGGACCCTTTAACGAGGGACAGCTCATCCTCCCTCTCGGCAACGTAGGCGAATTTCACGTAGGCGGGAATGTTCAGATCATAAATCCGGTCGGCGCTGCTGCCGTTGGAAGGGTACTCTGCGTCTGTGCTGGGAGTGGGGGAGGCGTCTCTCGCACTCGTCTTTCTCTTGGTTTTTCCCAAGCCTGGTAAAGACAGAAATGTAAAGTGGTCACTTGGAATGCTTGTCCCCAGACTGCAAAAGCTGGATGTGGTGACATGTTGAACCCTCACTTCAACAACACTGCTAAATGGAGATTTCTTCTCTAATACTACATCGTCAGGAAATAGCAACACCTTTAAGAGATTCTTTTTAACATCCAGCTGATGCACCATTAGGTAAAGAGCAATTTGTGTTATAATGATTTCTATTCTCTTCTCGGAAGGAGCAGAGTTTAAGCACACTTAAACACAGTGATTTCTTCACTGGGAGAACAGCTAATCACTGAAACTGATTCTCAGCTTGCTCTTCTCTATCTTTAAATTCCAGCCAAATGACCATGCCTTTTAATTTTGGAGATGACTTCAATTTGGCTCAAACAAAAAGTGAAAGAAAACCTGCAAAAATTAACGAGCACAGAAATAAAAGTTTAAATTTCTCTGCAGACTGTATTGCTCTCTTTGGTCTAGCAGTACCCAGGCAGGCACTGCTGCAATTCCTTCGAACTGCAATCCCCCTTCCAAAACCCACACATCTTTCACCTACATTTCATCACACACTGTAACAACAGAAATCTGCTGGTGAGGAAGACCATTTGCATGTATTTCCCTATAATCTATAAATTCTGGTGTCCTGTCATGGCTTTAATTATAGTGTTAAATACAATGTACAGAAGAAACAACAATAACATTGAACACAGTATTTTTTTTTTAATTAGAGAAACCATACTAATGTCTGTTTAAAAACAGAAAAACTGCACAACACAATTGGTGCACTTGGTGTACTTTTCAAACTTTTGCAGCAACCCCTCCTTAAGCTTATATATAAACAAAATAATAAAGTGAACAAGTAGCCCTGTCTTGTGAAATTCACTTAAAGAATTTCTGAGAAACAAAAGATTATGACGCAGTATAGCACAACCAAGCAAAATGTCATGCAAGGGACAGAAAGCAAAACCTTCACAGAAATAAGAGCATCTGTACTTTTCTCCCTAGTCACAGAGCCTGGGCAGAAGGTGAGAGATTTATTTGAGACACAAGAGCACACATGCTGATTATAGAATACTTAATGGAGAGAAAATAAAGGTACTTTGTTTCTTCAAATAATCTGAAATAAGGACATGCATGCAATTTCATTTTTAACTATTCAAGCCTATTCAATCCAGCCACTTCACTGCCAAAAACTGTGTTTTAATTTATTTAGATATATATATATGTACTTGCATATACAATGGGCATCTTCAGCAAAGCTGTTTGTTCACCACAGAACTTCATGCTTACTTCACAGTTATCTGTACAGCACAGAGTAACAGTGCACACATAACCATGCAGGGATCACTGTCTAGAAGGGTTAAAAATGCATTAGTTAATATGTGGTCTTATGGTCTCAGAAGATGGCAGAAAATTCTAATGATCCTAAAGTGGTTTCCTGGCCTTCCCCAGCAGGGCCTTGTTTCCTGCTGCAGCCTGCTACATCCTATTGTCATTCTAACTACATCACTCCAGCCAAGAGCCAGTGGCTGCACTTTCAGGCAAAACGAGGGAGGCAGCTTATTGTACTAGGGGACACAATCACAGGAAAAGAGTGTACAAGCAAGTACTAATCAGAAGCTGGTCAGGCTCTGATCTCTGCCAAGACTGGAAATTTTCATCAGTTTAGAGATCATTTTTAACCAAAAAGACAAGGATGTTTCAGAACTAATGAGCATTAAATTACAGTGATATAAACAAACACAACTTAAAGGTCGTTCTGTTAAGAAAAGAGGGAAATTACTTTTATAAATTTATGGAAAACAAGCAACTTTATTTCAATAGATTCTCTCTACATAAAGCCCTCCACTGAGACTAAACCTTCCAGATTAAAAACTTAGGCTTTTATCAGCTTACTAATGAAGATACACAGTCCACTTCTTGGAATTACAGCAAAAGAACTAAGGAAAAAAGCAGTAGATGGTGAGACAGCTGGCCTACCTAGTTGAAACGTAGAGCACAGAGATAACTGTGAGAAATGTGGATGTAGAGTGGCAGGAAAATGCCACAAACTTAAGTATCTAGAGAAAAAACTGTTTAAAAACAGGTAAAAATCCAGAATTTCTCAAAAAACTGTTCTGAAATGTGATAAAGGTATCGAAACATTTAGGAAAAAGTTATCATTCAAGCACTGTCTTTCATTTAGAGCTGCCTAAGTTCCCTCTTTTTTCACAGACCTTCCAATAGTGCATCTGACATTTCAAATATTGCTTCCTATCATGACCATTAAACATAAATCATGACAAATTTGGGAAAATAATAAAAAAAAAAACATAGCAAAGTTTCTAATTTTTATCAATAAAAACAACTGGAGTTCTTTGGTTTAAGCTTAACATTTCATGTGAACAAACTTTTTAAGGCTGACAGCATGGTAATGATTAACATTTTGCAATAGCAGCAATGTGCACCAAAGGCTTTCCAGTTGGTTTGACCAAAGGAACAAACTATGCAGAGACTCATCTGTAGTCAGGCACAGCAAAGGGCATGCACATTATCTAAGAACAATTTTTAATGTGAGGTTGCAACATTCATAACTGTGTCCATGACTGAAGAGGAAACAAGTTGTTCCATGAGCAGAACATGGAAATCTGTTCCTGTTTTGCACTTTATACCTCCTGCTGAGCTATTCCTCCTCTTCCTCTCCCTTCTCCTGCAGGATTCACAGTAAGTCTCCCAACTGTATGACTGCTTTCACATCCCCAGGTCCTTCTCATATCTCTGGGTCCCCACTGCCATCTCCAAAATGCCCTCAAAGCCTACCCCATCTCCCCTGGTGCTGCCCTCCTCCCTACCTTTGTTGGGCTGGCCAGCCAAGCACAGTGCCTGGCGCCCCCCTGCCTGTCAGCCTTGCCTGGACTCAGCAAAGACCTGGGGGTGCTCTGGCTTCTCCTCCAGTGAGGGACACCAGCAATGACTCTCCCAGGCACAGACTGGGAGAAAACTAGTTAGTTTATCTCTGCCAGTCTGTCAAGTTTGCCTAAAATTGGCAGAGTTATCAAGGATGGACAGATGGACGGACTATGACAGCTGACTGTGACAGCATGACTAATGTAAGCTTCATTTCCTTAGGAAAGTCTAAAAATACAGTTTAGTGGGATGGCTCGCCACAGCTAAGCAAGAATAAAGTCAGGTCAATTATAAACTTTGTATATGCATCTATAAGAAAAAACACAACTCCATTAAAAAAAGAAAAGTACAATCTACACATCTTGTAGATTCTGATCTAGAGATCGAGTCATCTCTAGAAGAGTAAACACTACCATTCTACTAACAGAAATGTTCACTTACTACTGTTTGTAAGGGGATGCCTATTCTTATGTCTGAAACACATATAAAGGATTTGATGGAAAATGAAACATTGACGCACTTTGGGAGTCTCATGTAGAAAAGTTGAATATACTTGCAATTGCAGTCATAGTTTTGGGGTGTTTTATTGTCTTTGTGACAACCTATGAAAACCTATCTACTGATCTATCTACCTATCTGCTACATCTGTGCTTTTCCTGTTCTGACTCACTGGGTACAGTTCGTCTGTAACCTGTGGAAGCCACAATCCTTTGTAACACAAACAGTTGTCATAAGGAGTCATCTAAAGCAAGAGGTTAGCTTTCAAGTGAAAGGAAAAGTGGGGAAGGAAAAGAAGCATTGCAAAGCAGCAGAAAGCCTGTTTTGCTACTGCCATTTGTAGGAAGCAACACTATTCACACTCTACAATAATCCACAGTAAATTACTTCACTTCCACTCTTATAAATACATTCCCAAGTGACGTGAGCTGGTATAATTCTTAGGATATACTACTAAGACAAAAAAAGAGAATCAACTTGTTAGCAATATTTCTGGAGAAGGGATCCACTGCAAATCCTCCTCTCTGCAGTGAAAGAAATCCTCTGGCCCCATGGTGAGTCCTAGGGAAACTCAGAAATGTGCCTGTTGCATCACTACATGCTGTCTTCCTTTCCTAGCTCAGCTGTGGCTCCAAAGAATAGCTTGTTTTTTGAGCAGCAGGCTGAAGACCAGTTTCCTATGAATTTGCTTCCTGTCACTTAAGTTTCCATTATGCAAGCACCCCTTCATTACCAGCTTGTCCCTGAGACAGTCTTTCCACTGTACCTAAAAGGTCCTTGAGCCTGCATCTCCAATTCCCTCTCCCCACAGCACTCCCAGCCTTCCCACCTCATCCTCCTTAGACTTCCCTAGGAAATGTCTTCAGGTCCCCCAAGCCCCAGAGCTCCAAGTGGTGAAATTTCCCTGTGGTCAGTCTCCTCTGGCCCGATGCTGGGCAGTGCCGGCTCCCCTGCCCCTGCGTGCATCTCCTGCCATGCTGGCCACACTCTGGGCCAAAGCTGGGCTGCCTGTCAGCACAGATGCCCCGAGTGCCCAGGTGCCCCTGCTGAAAACAAAAGAGTTTCTCTCTCTCTTCTGCCTTCAGTGATGGCACTGAAACAAGGCTGCAGAGCTACAACCTCTCTGAAAATTGGTTTGTAGAATAAACAAGTTTAACTATATTTAAAACATGATCTTAAATCATACCTTATCAAACACATACATAACACTTGCATAGAAAGGGATTCTTACCACTAATATAGGTTTGTATTCCATTTGCTAATCATGGTTTAATATTCCACACTACCTTTACTAGGAAAAGCCTATTTACAAAATAGACAACTTCCTAATTTAACAAAGATTTATTTGACAAGTCTTTCCACGTTCCTGCAAGCTGGTATCCTTGTCTGAGACTGATGAACAACCACATTTTGTATTTTAACTGCATTTGATCATCCCCAGAGATGAAAGAACATCTCCACAGGCTTATCCACACTCACAGTTATTAACTTCTGCCTAAGAACAACATGAACCAAACATTAAAGGTATTTGCAGTCAAATTCTCTAGGATCCCCTTCCCAAGACTGCCCACTAAATTTGTAAAATCTTGTATGTAGCTTAACTTTAGACTAA